TTTGAAAATATCATTACTGGCGGAGTGTATGATTGGGATATGGAGGTAGTTTTCGAAATTCGGACGTATGGGCACGAGAGGTACTAAATTTTGTACAATTTAACATTTGGGAGAACGGAATCCTGGAATTTGGCAATGAGATTACTATTGCATGATAGGATTGGGGTATGTAAAATATTATAAATATTATAATTCGTACTTATGTCACCCAAGTAGTACTAAATTTGGTACAATTTTAATTTTGGATGAAAATTGGATATTATGATGTAGTTAGTTACTGAAACATGTACTTAAGTGTACTGAGTGGTACTAGATTTGGTACAATTTAGATTTGGAGGAATGGATGAAGCTGGAATCCTGAAATTTGAAATAAACATTACTGCCGGAGCGTAGGAATGGGTTATGTAGGTAGTGTTCGAAATTTGCACTCAAGATTTGTATTTGTACTGAAATTTCGCATTAGGATCACTGTTAATGTGTAGAGCTTAGATTTGGAGGTGGTTTTGGAAATAAGTACTAAACGGTACTAAATTTGGTAATCGTGTAAGAGATTAAGTTACAACTGTAAATTTTGGCATGAGGATCACCTTTTGTGCGGTGGTTTGGTTGATACAAGGAGGGGGATTTGGATATACAGGGTGAGATAAAAAAACTGCAACAAAGTCAAACGCCATAATTTTTACATTTTTTTAAATTTTATTGAATGAAAGCAGAAATGTCGGAAATAACATCAAATTTTAGAACAAGTTTAGATTTGTTCGAATTGGTCACCTTTGGCACGAATTATGGCCTTCAAACGGCCAATGAAACCTTCACACGCTGCCCGAATGTTGCTCTGCGGTATTTGGGCCTATTCCCGGCGAAGCGCTTGCTTGAGGTGGTCGACACTTTTATATTTTTTTGGGGCAACCTTCCTTTCCAAAATACTCCAGGCACAATAGTCCAACGGATTAATATCCGAAGATTTCGGTGGCCATTGTGTGCTGAAAATGAAGCGAGGAACCTCATTTTGTAACCATTCTTAGGTGGCTCGTGCTGAGTGCGATGGTGTTGAGTTTGAATGTCCAAGGTCTGCGGCCAAATATTTGAGTGCCCAAGGCTTAAATACACCCTCCAGAATATTTTCGCGATAATATTCAGTATTTTTTCTGATACCACGGTCGATTAATACGAGCAGAGAGCGACCATCGGCTGTTATGGCCGTCCATACCATCACCATGGCCGGCGCTTGAGATCTGGTGGACAACCGAAGGTGCACATTTTCAGCTGACCTCTTTGGTTTGTTTACAAACTGCTAGACAACGAATGTTTTCTCATCGGAGACAGAGAAAACCAAATTCGGCAGTTCACCACTTTCGGCCAAGCGAAGTAACTCTTTAGCTCTTTTTAGTCTATTTTCTGTCGTCTTTCTGTTGCGGTGTAAGTTCTTGCACTTTTTGGAATTTCAATGGCTTTCCGCCGAGTTCATTTTTCAATATTTGCCGAATGGAATATTGCGATATGTTCAGCTCACGAGACATTTTTTGGCAACTGCGCCGCGGGTTTCGATCAAGACGCTTTTTTACTTTTCGAACCATTTCTGCTGATGTTGCTGTTTTCTTCCGTCCACTTCCTTGACGTCGGGCTACGCTACCAGTATCACGGTAACGAGCGATGGTACGAGATACAAAAGATTTATTCCGATTCAAATACTGGAGTGCTCTAACGATAGCCACTTGTGGTTTTCCGGCCAAATATAAAGAAATCACACTATCACGCTTGAATTCCATCACGAATAACTTTTTCTCTGGAGAATTTTCACCAAAATGCTTTTGTACACTTGTAAACAATATAATGAGATGTCACTAGAATAATTTTACCAGCGATGGTGCTAAATCCTGTTGGAGTGTCCAAAGTCTGCGGCCAAAATGTTTGCGTGTCCAAGGCTTTAACACCCTCCAGAATATTTGTCGCGATAATATTCGGCATTTATTCTGATGCCACGGTCGATTAATGCGATCAGAGAGCGAACATCGGCTGTTATGGCGGCCCACACCATCACCATGGTCGGCGCTTGAGTTCTGGTGGACAACCGAAGGTGCATATTTTCAGGTGACCTCTTTGGCAAGTAAACACGATAATTTTGTTGGTTTACCACTGCCTGACAACGAATGTTTTCTCATTGGAGAAATGACAGCAGTATGAGTTGGTTGCAGTTTTTTCATCTCCTTAAAATCATTACATATCGATATGTAAGGATTCTAGGGAATCTTAAGTCGAAAATACCAAAACATGTTGTAAAGGGGGGAACTTTCCTCCTCTATCTAGGTTACTTTGCGATGCGAACTATTCTATTATTCTATTTTTAGCTCTACTTTCAGAATCTGCTGGATTTTGCCTGTACTATGGAGAATAAAAAAAAATTGTCTCACAGTGTACCCTTTTAAACCTCTAGCAATACTCCGGTTATTTTAGATCGGTCAAGATTCTCATATCATCCGGATCGGTCCAAAATAACCAATGTCTTGCTTTAGACATCGAAGGTAAATAACACTGTGCGACAAAATTCGAGTTTTTCAATAACCGCACGCAAAATCCAGTACTTTCTCAAAGTAGAGCTAAAAATCAGCAGTTCTTGGCAAAGAGATATCTAAAATCGGGAGGACTATATGCATTATAATATTTCAAAATATGACATAATAAATTCTAAATCAGGGCTCCAATTTGGGGTGAAAATTTTGTGGTCTCTTCCCCACTTTACAGCTTCAGTTCTCATATGTAAATAAAGTTCTCCCATATTTGAGTACATAAAAATTTCTCCCCCCAGACGAACTTAAAATATCCTTACCTATTCCGTTTTTCTTTTGTTTAATTTCCAACAATTATCATAAAGCTTTTATTTTTATTTGTTTTTTTTTTTGGTTGGTACTTACGTGGTATGATGCCTTGTTCCACCAGCTGGGAGTGGGGTCTTCGCACCATCAATTTCACTTTGAGTGCTGCAGCAGCCGACGAATTAAGCCGAACAATGAGAACCGAGAAGAAAATAAAGAAGAAATAAAAATTTAATGAGTTTATTTCTAGTGTGGAAAACATGGGTAATTATAATTGATGGCAAGGAACACTTGACGGTGGCGGTGGCGGTGGCGGTGGAGAAGGTGAGGGTCGTCAGGTAATTTAATTTCATTTTAACTGTCATTTGTTTGGCAAAGATAATTTTATTTTTTTTATTTTGTCGGTATTGTGTGGTAAAAGTTGTTGGGAGGTTTATTATGTGGCGACCTACGTTGTTGTTGCTTTTGCTTTTGTTGTTGTGGTTAAAACCAAACATCACACAATGTCATATACAATCTCACATCTAAGCCCAAAAATCCATAATGTTTTGAGACTTGTGTTTTGGAAGTTTTACCACAAATTATCTAACAAAGCCCCGCAATAATTGCAGAGAGATTAATATTAAATTTTCGAAGGAAGAAGAGATGAAATAAATTTGAGGCAATTTAAAGATTAATAAATGGGAATTTACGATTGGTGTTAAATACTTCTATAATTAGAACTTATTCATATTGCTACAGAGGGTATTTTATCATTTATATGGTCAAAATGTGTCTCATCAAAGCAACAGTTTTACACCCTAGGCCTCTTTGAACGAAATCCATTTCAGAATATTTGGAGTCGATTTAGCAACGTAGTCTTAGTTAGTTTATCTGTCTGTCTATTTGTGAACGTAATAGCTCACGAAATTATATGGTCTTAACTTGGTACATCGTACTATTTTTAGAAGGAGAAGGACAAAATCAGTCTACTACCTCTTGGTAACACCTCTACAAAAAGGCAATTTTGACCGAAGAAATGGGCCATTTTGTGTCTGTCCATGTCTGAAATTAATATTACAAAGAGCGCGTTAGCTTGTCAGCGGAAATTCCATCTTAGAATTTTAGATTCCTTCCAACAGGTTGTGTAAGGCTTTTTAGTGCTCAAAATGCATAATTTCTTCAGTTTTTATTCTAAACTTCATACATTGTACTAAATTTGCAGAATTCCAAGGTTTTAGATCTTCTTCAAGTTTTCCTTTTTTTGGAAAGCTGAAATGTCTGGGATTCTATAGAGTCGACCTAAAGGGCCGGGGTGGAAAAACAACAAGCTGGCATGAAAACTTGCTGAAGGGCAAAAATTGGGTATAGAGCGAAACCGCAGGGAGTTAATGTTAAGAGGAGCTGAAGGACCATCGTCTATGTATAGACGGACTGAAGGCCCAGCTAGTAGATATAGAGGAACTTAAGAGCCAGAGATTCGATATAGACAAACTGGTGGGATAGGGCCAGCCTGGAAGTTGATATGATCCAAACAGTTCTTATGGGTGCTGAAGAGTGCTATATTTCTCAAAAGCTACCCCAACCTCTGCTGCACTTTGGACACGAATTCTTTGTGTCATATTTGGAAATTTTAGAATTCCTTCTCTATCCCAAAAACCACATTTTGTGGAATTTTGCACATTTCGTACGTTTATAGTATGCATTTCTAAAACCACCTCCTTCTCTCAGACACAGACACCAACAGCTACATCAATATAAAATTTCAGGATTTCGTACAGTTAAAAGTACGCCTTTCACAACAATCTTCAAATTGCAATCTCAGATATCTCAATATCAATATTTCGGGATTCCAGCTCTATGCCTTCATCCAATGACCAATTTCGTACCTCATAGTACTTTTTAGTACAATTATGGCACACATTTACAAAACCCCCTCCCTAACTTAAACACTGACACCATCTGTGATAGTATACATATCAAATTTCAGGATTTCGGTTCTATTCTTTCATCCAAGAACAATCTGTTCACCCAATACCAAATTGTACCAAATATGGTGCTTTTCATGTACTTGTAGTACACATTTCCAAAACCACGTCCATATTCTAATTCCAAATACCAACAGAGACCTTAATATCCAATTTGATGATTCCAGCTCTATTCCTTCATTCAATAACAAATTTGGTACCATACACTACTTTTCGTAGAAATATAGGACACATTTCCGAAAGCACCCCCAAATCTCCATCAGTAATCTAAATATCAAATTTCAAAATTATATATATATCCCTTGACCCAACACCAAATATAGTACCATTGAGTACTTTTCGTACAACTATAGTACACATCTCTAAAAACACCTCCATAAGCAAACCCTAATACCAAATTTCAGATTTCACTATCAATCACTATCTGTTCACCCAATACCAAATTGCACGAAATATAGTACTATTTAGTATACTTAAGTACGCATTTACAAAATATCCTACATAAAACCCAATCCTATCCTCCAACAGTAATCTTAAATCTGAATTTTTAGGATTACAGCCCTATCTTTTCACACAAATCCCAATTGTACCAAATTTAGTGCACATAAATACGTATTTCCTACACTCCACATTTCCAAAACTACCTCCGTACCCCAAAAATACAATCCAATAAAAATCATCTTTCCAAATTTCAGAATTCCATATCTATCGGCCACACCACAATTCCAATTTGTACCAAATTTAGTAACATTTGATACACATAAGTGCGAATGTACAAAGCTTCATATATACCTTAATCCTACTCTCCCACAGCAATCCCGAATCTAAATTTCAGGACTCCACCCCCATTGGTTCACCGAGAAAATATAAATTGAACCAAATTAAGTACCATTTACTAAAACTTAAAACTTACTACATACCTCAATCCTACAATGCAATAGTAATGTTATTTACAAATATCAATATTCCAGCTCAAATCGAAACTGTAACAAATTTAGTACCATTTAGTACTTTTTGTGCACATAAGTCTAAATTTCGAAAACTACCTTCATATCAGAATCCACACTGCGCCAGTAATGTTATTTTCAAATTTCGGGATTCCAGCTCCATCCGTTCCTCCAAATTCAAATTGTACAAAATTTAGTACTGATTTCCACTTCAAATTTCAGGTATTTAGATCGAAGCCTCAGATTTTATTGAACTAATTTTATCCTTGACCAGAAAAATGTCACTATATATTTTCTTGGTAAAAAATGACCGAATATCGGGGGGAGGGGGGTGGGGGGTTCCGTTATATGAGAGCTATACGAAGACGTGAACCTTCATGGCGCATTTTCTGTCTTATGCTGTAGTATCCACTACGAACATCAAATACCAAATTTGAAATAGTTCCGGTAAATAATGTCGCTACAATCATCAAAAATACCGAATATCGGGGGGTACCGGTATATGTAGGCTATACGAAGACGTGGACTTGCACAGACAATTTTCTATCATAGGCTGTAGAATCCATTTCGAACTCCAAATACCAAATTTTAAACAATTCCGGTGAATAATGTCGCTAAAATCATCAAAATACCGAATATAGGGGGGTACCGTTGTATGGGGACTATACGAAGAAGTTGACTTACATGGCCCATTTTTTGTTTTATGCTGTAGTATCTATTACAAACTATAAATATTAATTTTGAAACAATTCTGGTAAATAATGTCGCTAAAATCATTAAAATACCGCATAACGGGAGGTACCGTTATATGGGGGCTATACGAAGACGTGGATCATATGGCCCATTTTCAATACCAAAAGTCCTGCATACATAATACACATTTGAGTAAAATTTTATCAACCTACTTCATTTCGTTCGGAAGCTAGAGTGATTTCAACAGATATTGATAAATCGACATAGTATTTTATGCTAATCAAGAATATATATACTTTCTGGGGTCTAAAATGTATATTTCGAGGTATTACAAACGGAATGACAAACTTAATATACCATTCATACTATGGCGGAGGGTATAAAAAATCATCTACAATTTGCAGCCTCTTTTTTATGGCTTCTGATTTCAACCATACAAAATATGTGACCTACAGTGCAGGGCATAAAATATTTGTATGCGACGAAATTAAGCCAATATTTGTTTATTATCATGTGAAATACATGCATGTGTTTATATATGTTTTTGTCTATGTATATGTGTATTTGATTTTCTGTGTATTTAATACAGTCTGCATATATTGTTATTATATTATTCAAAATTTAATTAGCACAATCACAAAAGAAGGATGAACTCAGCAAGCGTGAAAGTAGATACAGTATTTCCCGCCTTAGTGTTAGCCAAATAAATATATGTTCCATAAAATACCTGGAATTTATTTTGTGTAGACCAGTTTATGCTACACTACTCCCCCTGTTTCGGAAAAATGTCGTATAACTGAAATATAGGTTATTATAACAAATTGTCGATTCTTTAGAATATATGTTTCGCCTCAGGGCAAAAAAAAAAACTAGCTTGTGTAATCATGGAATTTAATTGCTAGTTGAGAGGATAAATTGCCTAACAACTAAAAAACATTTCCATGAATTTCAAATAATATTAGATTGTCCATATAAACGAGAAAATGGAATACCTTTTGTAAATGCGTATACGTTATTCCAAGAATGCAGAGTCACCTGTATGGACCTACCATCATTCACACATTTCCCTTTAATTTGACCAAATTAAACAAATGCTGCATAAGGTAGATATAACCGTATATTTTATGTATGTATGTTTGTAATGAGAACAAAACTCTATCTCTCTCACACACACACACTTATAACTAGTCACTTTGTTCATTCGTAGCCATATCAACATTTGAGATTCGTTGTTGTAAATCATGTTCAGCTTCTGTTGTGTGGCCAGTTTGAGACTGGGGGTGTTGGTTGGCGTATGATTTCGCTGGCATTATTCATACGCCATGATAATGTGTGCGGGTGTGTTGTGGTGCATAAAATATTCATCATACGCCTAATGGCCATGAAACGAGTATTTTATTTCAATTAAAAGTTTGTTTCTTTCACTTCGTTTCCTGTTCCGTTTTCATGTTTTTCCTCCCGATCTGTTGTATTATTAACACTGCTGGCCACAATAAACTAAATTAACAACGAAAATCATAACTGGTTGAGGGGAAAAAGGTACTAAACAAGTCGCCAA